ATATACGTCGCGCTTCGATGAGAATGGTGCTTAGTGAAAGAAATAAGAATAAATCGTAGCCATCCGATCAAATGATCCAACGGGTAAAAAGAGCCACATTTTGTACACTCATAAAGGGTAATTTGGACATTTTATAAATCATACACATCATGGGCCCCACCCCACACATAATCTGCCCCAGCTATCACGTCTCTGTATCTGTCACTCGACTTCATTACGAAGAAAGTCAACTGAACTCTTTTTTGGGCTTGGACCCACACTGATAAGGCACACATTGTAAGACCTTACCGGCTGGGATGACCATATTCCTTAAAAATTAAAAGACCAATGACCGGACACCAAATTATCCAATCAGGTCCACATTACGATGAAAAACAATCACAAATAACAAAAAATCGCACCATCCCAATACAACATTGCGAATACGTTAATAGTTCCAAGGGCCCGAGTACCCACACAAATCCATATCATTATCACCATTACGAAAGCAATCCATCCAGCGCTTCACATTACACATAGAAACATGAAAAACGGGTACCAAATTACCCGACTAGTTCTTTGGGGCCCCATTCATAGCAATTCCAAAAATTGACTATCCATTCCATCGACTCCATTCGTCAGAACAAAAAACATGATTAACATCAATACGTCAGGCCAAAGCCTGGACACGATCAACGAAACGTCCACGGGTCTCAAAGCACTCGGCCACGTCATTACATTATTAACCTTAGCCAAATTGATTATAAACGCGACTTCAGAAAAGGTTCTGTTTAGAACATGTCCTAAAGTCCGGGGCCTCTTGTTGATACCCAATTTGGCCTCAGCTGATAAAAATATTACGCGTGGATATGTATTAAATCAATTATCTTACTCTCATCTTATTAAGACCCAAACATAATTTTTTTTTCTAAACGATAGAATTTTATAAAAACTAAAACCACGTAATTACAACTAGAAAGCATCTAGAATAGCCAAATAGCCAACCAGCTGAATCCAGGAGGTCTACACAGAGGTAGCCTAGAATCCACTACACTAATGCACCCACATCAATAAACTATACAACTCCCAACAGGTGAATAACACGCTCACCATAATAAAAACTAAAACCTAAAAACCACAACTCACCACAGTACACTAAAAACTAAAAACCACAAAAAACCACACACAACCACAACACCACAACGAAACTAACGAAACTAAGAATCAAACAAGAACCAAAATAAAGCCCTCCCATCAGACGAGGATCCACTCCCCAAGCCTCATGTCTGATCTGATACCCAAGTAACCACTCCAGGAGGGACGGACGCCCGACCCAAACACGGAACTAGAAACTGCCTAACGCCTAATTAGAACCGGACTAAGAGGACCCAAAACTTCCTAAGAGGCCACCCCAGAAACGGTAACAGACGACGTGCCCAGGTTCCTCCTAACTAATCGGAGACTGCCATCCAAAGAAAATGACTGAAGTCGCCTCCATCTACAGCCTTTGTACGCCCAGCACCAGAGCAAATACATGAGACAGTGAAAGCAAAGCAAATGTCAGAGACTCTGACGACCCGCCGCAGCCAACCGCCAGAAACCGTCGCCCTAAGCAATCCGGCAAAACCAACGTGCTCCAAAACACCATGGCCATCATTTAATAGAGGAATCCCAGGTGGAAAAAGACCGTAGCAACCCTAGCTGTTCACAAGTGACACTGAAACCGGCCCCATGAATCGAACCAAAACATAAGAGGGGAACCGCATCTCCAAACACCACCCCACACCCAATCGAAGGGAAATCAAACTACCAGCCCCCAGCCCCCTGGATCTAGTGAACAAAGCTCGAGAGCCACGTCTGCCTGATGCAGCGTGTGGTAGACAAAAGGGAATAAGAACTCAAAGAACTCAAAGAGATTTTTATTTCAATCGTAAAAACTACTTTTCTCCCATGGAAGGAGTACAATAAATAGAGACCAATCCTATTAGGTTATCTTGGAAAGCAAGATAACTAATTATTTAATAATAAAAAGAAACATAAAATTGCTAGGAAATAAACAACTAATAAACTAGATACGAAGCCGGTCGAACTTGTCCAAGAAAGCCATCGCGGCTTCATCTCCATCATTCCCCCCGGGTTGGGAAGGATTCGCCCTCGAATCCGACGCGGCTTCCTCTCCATCCGAATTATCGCCAGTAAACGGGACCAAATGTTTGACGTTAAAAACGTCAGAAGTACGAACATGAGAAGGCAGGCGGAGACGGTAAGCATTCGGATTAATCTTCTCGATAACTTCCACAGGACCAAGCTTGCGGGCCGACAACTTGTTGTACTCATGGGCGGGGAATCGATCCTTAGTCAAGACCGCCCAAACGTAGTCGTCAACCTCGAACTCCAAATGTCGACGGCGCGCATCGGCCCGCTGCTTGTAAGACGTCGTCGTCTCCTCGAGCCGAGCACGGGCTGCCACGTGGCCCGCCTGAAGGTCGGCAATCACCTCAGCCGCTCGCTTGTCCTCCGAAGTCTGAGATGGTAAGGATAACAAATCCGAAGGTCCGCGAGGCAGCAAGCCATAAACAATGTGAAAAGGGGAGAACCCGGTGGCGCGACAAATAGCCGAGTTGTGGGCGAACTCGGCCTGGCTGAGGCGTTGGTCCCAACTCCGGAGGTTGTCGCCAACCAAACATCTAAGCAAGTTTCCCAACGAGCGATTCACCACTTCCGTCTGCCCGTCAGTCTGTGGATGATAAGCGCTGCTAAAGTCCAGACGGGTATTAGCCATACGCCACAAGCTGCGCCAGAAGTGGCTTACAAACCGAGTGTCACGATCCGAGACGATGGAAGAAGGAAGGCCATGCAGATGATAAATTTTTCGAAAAAATAACTGAGCGACGTGTACCGCATCTGTTGTTCGTTTGCATGGAATAAAGTGCACCATCTTCGAGAATCGATCAACCACGACAAAAATCGAGTCAAACCCTCGCTGAGTACGAGGCAAACCCAACACAAAATCCATGCTAATCGCAAGCCAAGGCTGGGACGGAATCGGAAGAGGGCGATAAAGACCGGCATTAGACGCAACCCCCTTCGATACCTGGAAAACCCGACAACGACTCACAAATCGCGTGACATCACGCCGTAGAGTCGGCCAAAAGTACGACCGGCTCACTAGCGCGACCGAGCGGTCCCGTCCGACGTGGCCCACCCCATGCAGCTCAGCAATAAGCTTAGGACGGAGGCTACAATCCGGAACACAAAGGCGAATACCACGAAATAAGAACCCATCGCTCATCGTGTAGTCCTCAAACGGGCCAGCCTCCAAGTGACGCATAATCGGCCCAAAAAAGGAATCGGCCCCATAAACCTTACGAAGCATGTCGAAGCCAACAACAGACACGCGTAACTCGGTCAATAATAGCACACGGCGGCTAAGAGCATCGGCCACCTTGTTCGTCGACCCTGAACGATGCTTGAGAACGAACGTGAATTGCTGCAGAAAGGCTGTCCACGAAGTATGTCGGGCAGAAATGTTGTCCTGGGTGGCCAAGTGTCGCAAAGCATCATGGTCAGTGTAAAGAACAAACTCCCGGTGAAAGAGATAATGTCGCCAGTGCCGAACTGCTTGAACAACCGCATAGAACTCAACATCATAGGCACTGTAACGAGAACGAGGGCCGGAAAGTTTCTCACTAAAGAATGACACAGGCCGGGCCTCCTGACTAAGGAC